CGACCATGGCAAATTCATCTTATGGACCATGGAAAATTTACATTTTTCAAAGTTTTCATAGAACAATTGCAACACTAGTTGCCATTTGTGTCCATGGAAAAGCCATTAAAAAATTCCATATTTTTGAAAAATATTAAATCTAACTTAATGGACCATGGCAAAGTTACTTTGCATCCATGGCAAATTTGACTTTTCAGACCATGTCAAATTTACTTGAGGAACCATGGCAAATTTATTGTTTGGACCATGCCATTTTTTTAAAATAGACCATTATAATTTTGGTTTTCACCATAGCAAGGTTTACTATTTAATCATGGCAAATATTTTCTTTTACAGGCCATGGACAAATTTCTTGGTTGTGCCCTTGCAGATTCATTTTTCGAAGCGTGACAAAATTATTTTTTAGACTATGGCAAAATTGTAGGTTAGACCATGACAAAATTAAAAAAATTAACCTTGAAAAGGTTAAAAAAATGGACAATGGAAAATTCATACTTCAGATCATGGTAGAATTTTATTTTTTGAGCATGGCAAATTTACTTTTTATCCAAGGCATTTTTTCCAAGCCATGGGCAAACTCATTATTTGGATCATGGCAAATTCATACTTCTGTCCATGGCAAATTTTATATTTTTCAAACATGGCAAACTTTATTAATTTTACCATGCCAAACTAATTGCTTTGGACCATGGCAACTTTGTTTTGTAGACATCAAGGAAACTTTCATCTCATACACCATCTTAAATTACGTTTTTGTATTGTTTTTGTCTCTTTTCCAAAAGCATGTCAAAATGTTGTTGAATTGAGCATGTTAGATTTTTTTTCAGCATAGCATGCCGTTTTTTTCTTGACCATCCCATGGCAAAAAAAATTCTATTAGACTTTCGCACAGTTGTTCTTTTCAATTCTTTTTATCTTCTATTTTATTATATAAAACATGGGCATCTATATGTTGAAACCTTTTTTTGGCAAGTTTTCTTCTGTTTTTTTAAATTCTGGCTCTTTTTAGTTTCATAACTAGTATGGATCCAATTTTTT